CTATGTTAGAAAATGGTCAAATGAGCGTCGTTCTTTTTCATCTTATTTTCCTGGTGCTCGTGTTGGCGCTGCCTGGTATGACAGAAAATTCCATCGTCGCATCTTATCACCTCTCCGACTTAAATACGTTGAAAGTCGAAAAAACCCAGTTTTTCGATGACTCAGCGATATAGAAAAATGTTTTTTCTCAGGAAAGAGAGAAAAGTGTTTTTCTCTGGAAAGAGGGAAAAATGTTTTTTTCTAGGGAAAGAGAGAAAACTGAATATAAAATAGCACATTTTGTCGTAAGTTACAAAATGGTCAAAAACGCGTCGTGCTTTTCCATCTTATTTTTGCCAGAAATATAAAACTTTTCCAGGAAACGCTTTTTTGATTCAGTTTGTAGAGTTACATTTTTGAAATTGTTTTGTCTATAAGTTTGGAAATATTCGTGGAGTTTAGGGAAAATTTTCATGTAAGATAGAGTGCTAAAAGTTGTATAATCATTGAAAGTCTCAGTTTCGTTCGATCCGTTCTGGTAGGAAAATTTTCCATTATACTGCAAAATGTACAGTGACACCTTTTGCTGCATTTTTTGAGTTTGAGTGGCTTAAATAGTCACTTAACATATATTGATTAACATTTATGTGATAAGCAAGCAAAATTACGATGTCCAAATTGTATTAACTTTTGCATGTGATAAATTCGTCATGATTCCTACTGTTTTTATCTACTAGATTTACTCTTTATTGCTTTGCTTATTTATTTTTATTTGTTCAAAATGGTTTATATTTCGTTCACAAGAATGTTTTAGAGTCTGTTAGAGTGAACATAACAAATTACATGTACAAGCAAGTATGTATGTTGCGACTTTTTTAATACTAAAATAGGACATATTTCAAACTCTCAGTCTCTAACGCATTTTACTGAAAGTTATTAAAAAAATGAGTCACTGCATTGTTTTTTAAAAGCATACTCTCGTCTAAATAAGATTATAAATGATACACACATACACTTTCACGAGTAGACCTTCGAAGGTAAAAGTAGTGAAAATATGCAAATAAGATCCTGTAGATCAATGCATGTAAGTAATATGGATAACAGGGTTTCAGATATTCAAATAAAAAATATTTCTAGATTAAACGACTTCTGTTCATGCTTTTTATTAACTTTATGGAGTTTATGTGTGCGTAGATGTCTGCTGCTGATTTTCCTGTCGTCGTTTAGTTTCACTTTTGATCATTTCGTTTTGAACGTTAGATGGTAGTCCAGGATTTAAGCTTAAAAAGTAGGGCAATAGCATTTTCGGTAGAAGGTTGAAATCTACGATGCATTTAATGAAGAGTGTGTCGTCTTTAACGTAGTTATTTCCGTCTTGTTGCAATATCGACAGCGGAAAGAATTTTGGGATGCCAGAGGCAATGTTCATTTGTGTTTTGGGTATTTGAAATGAGTTTGATTTGACATCAGGACGAAAGGAATCTATAATATGACGTTGTTCTCCAGACTGATCAAGCATACAAAAAGTAACTTTGAAGTGAAATGGCCATGTTAGAATGGCATCATATTCACCGCGCATCAGAACAAAGAAAAGTGACAGGTGTGTTCCACGAGCGTTACCATCTCCATTTAGATATGCACGAATACACATTTTATAACCTGTTTGAGATGAATAGAATGATGGCGAATAAATACTCGATTGTTGTTCTGATTGTGCACACACCATCGCCTGTGCAACTTTCTTAATTTTCCAAATAAATGTGCCATCATATGAGGTTGATTGCATATTTTCCGCATTTTGAGTTAAATCTGTTAAATTTTGTTGTAATATTTGTTCATTCAGTTGTATTCCGCGGATTATTGCATCTTGCTCTTGTTCCGATTGCTTTAATTTCAGCTGTTCTTGATGATAAGAATCAACTAAAGATTTTAAATTAAATAGTTCTGTAGTCACCCATGTCTTATCGCACATGAGCGTCTCCATTCCACTTGTAAGAGTTGTTAGCGTTTCATACAATCTGTTGTGTTCTTCACACAAATATCTGATGTCTGTCGATGATATAGCAGTAGATTTAAGAGCCATTTCTGTATCTGAATCATTATCCAAAGGTCTCATCGTAGTATAATGGTGAATACTTCCAGTAATACATTTTTGATGTAATTCACTGGAGCAACGCTTATGTAATTCACCTTCTGGTGATTCTTTGCAACATCCCAAATCTGCCGATACGCAACGAGTCAACTTTTGAAGTTCAGGAGCACCACATTGTTTTTCAACTATACAATCATTTACCATTTCGTACGTTTGTAATAACTGATCATCTTCAAATTGATTGTTGGATCGCGAACACTTGATCTCATGTAGCCGATGTTCTTTTTGCATTTTAATATCACATGATGAACATTCGCATGTAGTCACTTCATCTGTCGTTGCAAAAGTAAGAAGATTTAGTGTTTGATTAACCATTGCTTCTGTAATTAGTTTGTGGGGTGTTGAGTATAACAACAAAATTATGAGTCGAGTGGATGTTATATATAGTAGTTTCTGTTAGAGGGTTTTTTCTTTATGACGAGTATTTTTGTGAGAAAAGGAAGAGTGGGTAAAAAGTTAGTTTATCTTTCTTCTTTCATCAGAAAACGATCGAAGTTTCAACAGAAAAAGGGAAGAAGCCAATTATTAATCTACTGAGTTTGTTTTGCTTGAAGAAAAAAAGAAGTACTTCTTGAAATTACAAAAGTGCAAGAAACGCATACTGTTATCGTGGCACATTCACATTTCCCTCAAACAGCTTGATAAACTTCAATATCATTCACCATAAAATGCTCTGTGCCTGTAAGTAGTTCACATCCCTTGCCCGTCGTATCAACGTACCACTTTGGAAAACCACGATATGACGTAAGATTTTGATTTGAAATTGAACAAACGATAATATCGTAGGCACCGAAGTAGAAGAGATGAGGAGGAAGTTTTACTGCTGATACTACGCTTGTGCACTTAAAGTCGAATGCTGTAAGAGCGATTCCATGGTGATTACTTAAAATAAAAAATGGTTCTCGTCTTTCGGGATCATTTTGACCGATATTAATCAATGAACGCTGGTTTGCTTGGACTTTGTACCCACCAAACAGGTAACCGAATTCACTTTGCTCTTTCGATTCTATGATGAACATCAGTGAGCCATATCTCTCGTTCAGTTGTAAATTAATTTCCATTTTTTATCTCTTTTCCCATAAAATTCATTCAGTTTCAGTTCATATTCACTTAACAAGAGATTTCTCCCTATGAAATATTTTCCAGGCAAAACAACAGTTATGTAATCAGAGCCAAGGTTCAATGGTTTTGTCTCAATATCAATCGACTGCTCTTCCATTTCGATGAACTGCATTTGACGTTCGTCAACTATTTGTTTCAAAAACTGGAGATCATCGTAGGAAACGTCAGTTTGTTTTAGAAGTCCATCGATATTCTGTTTAATTCGGTCAACTGATTGTATGAATTCAAATTTCTGACGTGAAAATTGTCATTGAGTATTAGTTTGTCTAATTCTTTTTTCCTGACATCGTAAAGTCGATTGATCTTTGTGATGCTATCATCTCGCCATTTGTTCAATTTTTCCAACGGCTTCTTCTTCTTCAATTCGCTAAAATCATATTTCTGGAGTTGTTCATCCAGCTCGTTAACTTCATCTTTTAACAGACGGAGTGACAACAAGATCTGATTAGCATGTTCATTAAAATGACGTTGGCACACTCAACGACTGCAGTGATCACAGATTGCATTTGATTGACAATCACAGTTTTCAACTTCACACAATTTCTAAGACGAATTTGCAACAGTAGATGAAGCGGGCATTTGATTATTTTTTCGGAGAGTATAATCAGTTTTTCTTTACGATTTGTATTTTTGGAGTGATGAAAGCAGAAAAGAAAACAGTAAGGTTCCGAAAATTAAAAATTCGAGCGCTCTTTCTTTTTTCGATTTTATTACATGGATAGATGATGATTCTAACCATGCATAATTTGTTTGGAAAAAGCTCTTTTTTCCGGGCAAAACAGGCCAAAAACCGAAAAAAACCGAAAGTTAAAAAAAGAAAGCTTCTGGAAGAAAAGCTTTTTTAACGAAGGGAGATGGAGTTCTAGAAAATGTATTTTCAAAATCTTCATCGAAGATGGATTCAGAAAATCGTTTTTCCAACGTTATAACTTGATTCTGACTCAATCGATGGTCTTTCGAACGAAGATAAACCTCCGATTTTCGTTTAAAAATCCTTAAATCAAGAATGAAAAGATATAGAGGTTTTATTTTTTCACTATAACCTCCGCCTTATGCTCCCCTAAAAAGTTGTGTATCGGTCTTGGAAAATATTGTTCCGTTGTTGAGAAAATAATATTTTTTAAAACCGGTGGCAAAAACCAAGGAAATTCACTTCAACCAGTTTTCACCGTCAAACTTCTAATTCTGTTTTGTTGCCAAGAAATACAATTTTTCCACCATCACTGAAGGAACAATCAAAATCGGGTCGTATGTTGTCGTTTTTTGGCATCAAAATTCAACTTTTTGACAGAAACAAGACCATTTTCGTAATTAGCGTTACAAACTGAGTTGGCAAATGTGTGTTTCGGGATTATCTCCAAAATTGTAGGACTACATAGGTTCGTAAAGTTGAGCCCCTTTACCATTCTGCTTGTGTTTCGCAAATTCTGAGTCCGAGTTAGCTTCTAACATTTGCTTTCCAGGTGGAAACTAAGAAACAAATGGTTTTGGAATTCCGAAAAGTGATCAAACATGAAATTTTTGCTTTTCTTTGAAAATCTCGCTGTTTCTTTCCTGCAGTTCAAAAGATCAGTATTTTTCAATGTTTTCATCCAAAAATGATGTTGAAAAGTCTCAAATTGTCACAATCACACTCGTCATTCATATTTAAAAAATAATGATAAATCAATGAAAAAAAATTTATTAGCAGTCCGTCACTTTTTGTTTTTATTCAACGACCACGCTGCGCTGTGCAAAGTAATATACGAAGGTGAGTGTTTGAAAGGAGAAACGGGACGCACCGTTTCTTACATGGAATCGTTTCTTGTTGCTCGTAAATACTTTTGGTCCGTCGCTTCACATTTCTTTCTGATACTGTCCCACTAAACTGTTCTACCGACCGATTCTCCTTTCAGAGAAACTTTTGCGTTAAGGGCGCTCATTCGCTCATCCGACCTCGAAAATTCACTTTTTTCGATTTCGACTCTTTTGTCTCTATTAGGACCTTCAAACAACCAACATCCTGGTATCTGTAAAACCCGCAAACATGCTATTTTATTTTTAGTTCCTTTCTTACAAAAAACCATTTTTCTCACTTTCCTGAGAAAAAACATTTTTCGCTGAGTCAGCGAAAAAATGAGTTTTTTCGACTTTCAACGTATTTAAATCGGAAAGGTGATAAGATGCGAAGATGGAATTTTCTGTCATAGCGGGCAGCGCCAAAAGGAGCCCCAGAAAAAAACGTTTTTGAAAATCGAACCATCGCAATCAAAGCTAAGGCGGAAAATCCGTAAAAAGCCAATTACACAAAAAATATACGATTGACTCATATATACATCTTTAGTACTCTATCTTTGATGTTTTCGCTGAACCCGACGAATCTTTCCAAACTTATAGACAAAACAATTTCAAAAATACCACTCTAAAACCTGAGTGAAAAAGTGTTTTCTGAAAAAGGTTTATACTTTTAGCAAAAATAAGATGGAAATTGACGACGGTTTTTTGCTGCATTTTTTGAGTTTGACTGGCTTGAATAGACACTTATCATATATCGATTAACATTTATGTGATAAGGAAGGAAAAATTTGTTTTTTTCACACTTTTGATGAAACACAACACAATTCGATGTAGTTTTTCGAGCCCTTTCTGATGCTGATTTTACCCCAAAACGTAGTCATTTTTCGTTTAATCGTTTTTACCGCGAAATTTTGTGTTTTATGTTCTGATCACGATATTAATCTTTTCATATATCCTGCTCGTGATATAGCTGTATATCCCGATCAGGATATAGCAGGTGTCCCCATACTGAACGAGCAGAAAGCGAAGAATGTCTATATGAGTCAATCGTACATTTTTTCTATAACTGGTTTTGTACGCGTTTCCCGGCTTAACTGGTTCGATTTTCAAAAACGTTTTTCTCTTCTGCTCGTCTTGACGCTGTCCACTATGACAGAAAATTCCATCTTCGCATCTTAACACCTCTCCGACATAAATACGTTGAAAGGCGCAAAAGCCCATTTTTTCCCTGACTCAGCGATAGAAAAATGTTTTTTCTAAGGAAAGAAAGAAAACTAAAAACAAAATAGCACATTTTGTCGAGCTCTGACCTCTCTATTCAACCATACGATTCACTTTTGCTGTTGTTTATATTCTATGTACGAGTTTATACTATGGTAGAAAATGGTCAAAAGAGCGTCGTTCTTTTCCATCTACTTTTTGTGTTGCTGGTCTTAGCGCTGCCCGCTATGACAGAAAATTCCATCTTCGCATCTTAACACCTCTCCGACTTAAATACGTTGAAAGTCGAAAAAACCCATTTTTTCGCTGAGTCTACGACAGAAAAATCTTTTTTCTCAGGAAAGAGAGAAAACTAAAAACAAAATAGCACATTTTGTCGAGGTCTCAACTCTCTATCGAACTATAGGATTCACTTTTGCTTTTGTTTATTTCTTCCTGCTCGCGGATGTACAAAACACGTTTACAAACACATTTAAACTATTTTGTAGAGTAACATAAAACGCTCGATAAGGTATAGAACAATGAAGGTGTGAATTCAGTACCTACCTCAAAAGAACAAGGTTGTAGTAAGTTACAAAATGGTCCAAACAGTGTCGACCTTTTCCATCTTCTTTTTCGAGTGCTCGTCTTGGCGCTAAGAGAGAAAATTCCATCCATCTTCGCACCTTACCACCTCTCCGACATAAATACGTTACCCGATCAGGATATAGCAGGTGTCCCCATACTGAACGAGCAGAAAGCGAAGAATGTCTATATGAGTCAATCGTACATTTTTTCTATAACTGGTTTTGTACGCGTTTCCCGGCTTAACTGGTTCGATT